GTTGCCAACGCTTTTAAAAGTCGATTTTTATCGATTTTATCGATTCGTTGTTGCAGCCTTAACTAAATCATTTCAACCCTGCATTTAAAAAAATAAAAGATATTATTTTTCACATGTTGTGCTGCTCCTGCATCTCCTTCTATTTTCATTTGGACTTACACAGCAGGATTTGGTGTCATCCTGAACTTCTCAAGAATGTCTCCAACCTCTGGGTTCACATCCTTGACTTTGCGGCCTGGTTGGTAGATGTAGCAACCTTTTCCTGATTTACGTCCTTCAAAGTAACACAAATATGACAAACATCAGAAAAAATGAGACTAAAGCAGATTCCTAAACCAAAACCCAAACAATAAGGAGCTTTCACCTTTAAACCCCTGATCCACCATGGTCTTTAAAACCTCCACATTTCCGCCACCAAAGCGGGAGCCAAAGGCCTTGCCGAGATCCTCAGCTACGTGAGCTGCAACATCAATACCAACTTCATCGGCCAGCGTGGCTGCACCCACAGGAAAACCGAAGCTTGTTGTAAGGCCATCCAGCTTCTTGGGGTCTACGCCTTCCTGCACGTAAACGATAGCATGCAAAGCAGTTTTGTAGAAGCAATGCATCAAATTCTGAAGTGTTGTTTTAAAGGACAGACCATCCAAGAAAACAAGGAACCTGCAGCTTGAACTAACCTGAAGAACTCGTACAGCTTCAGCCAACATAGGAGCCAGACACCTCGTGGTGTAGAATCCAGGTCCATCCTGAGAAGAAAGTTCAGTAATATGAATGTAGCTCAACACAGCAGGGTTATTACACATTTCTCTGATCAAATTCTAGATTTATGTCTCCATTTCATCCTCAGGTTTAAACTTCAATAACAGTTCACTGTGAATTTGATGAATGGATCAGACTGACTGCTGATTAACGGGTGGAAAGCTAAATACACGGTCAGATGGATGGACCGTTAAACGGATTGCCCGGCGACTGACAATCAGAGGACAGATTTCTTAAAATAACTATAACAGAGTAGATATTACTCTGTCACTGTTTAAACTCAGTGTTGGAAAAAACACAATTATATTTTTTATATATAAATATTTTAAATGGTTTATATTAAAAGAATCTTTCATTAAAAAATCGAATTGCGTTATAATCTGAAAAACATTGTCAGTTTCTGGAATTTGCAAACTAAATCAATAGTAAGTTTGAATATATTACATTATATTACATTAATTACTTTTATGATCAAGATGATTCATTTCCCAAAATAACAGAGGATGTGAAACTACCATTCCTGCTTCTACTGAATGATAAAATGTCTTAAAGGAATAGTACACCCAAAACATGATTAGCCTTCATTTTCTACTCACCCCCATGCTGAACAACACTCTGGAGTACTTTTTTGATATC